CAGGGAACACAGTGTGTCCAGGGAACACAGTGCATCCAGGGACCACAGTGTGTTCCGGGACCACAGTGCATCCAGGGAACACAGTGCATCTAGGGACCACAGTGCATCCAGGGAACACAGTGTGTCCCGGGAACACAGTGCATCTAGGGACCACAGTGCGTCCAGGGAACACAGTGTGTCCAGGGAACACAGTGCATCTAGGGACCACAGTGCATCCAGGGAACACAGTGCGTCCAGGGAACACAGTGTGTCCAGAGACCACAGTGTGTCCTGGGACCACAGTGTGTCCCGGGACCACAGTGCATACAGGGAACACAGTGTGTCCAGAGACCACAGTGTGTCCTGGGACCACAGTGTGTCCTGGGACCACAGTGCATACAGGGAACACAGTGCATCCAGGGAACACAGTGCGCCCAGGGAACACAGTGCGTCCAGGGAACACAGTGCATCCAGGGAACACAGTGCGTCCAGGGTACACAGTGCGTCCAGGGAACACAGTGTGTCCCGGGACCACAGTGCATCCAGGGAACACAGTGTGTCCCGGGACCACAGTGCATCCAGGGAACACAGTACATCCAGGGAACACAGTGCATCCAGGGAACACAGTGCGTCCAGGGAACACAGTGCACCCAGGGAACACAGTGCGTCCAGGGAACACAGTGCATCCAGGGAACACAGTGCGTCCAGGGAACACAGTGCATCCAGGGAACACAGTGCATCCAGGGAACACAGTGTGTCCCGGGACCACAGTGCATCCAGGGAACACAGTGCGTCCAGGGAAAACAGTGTGTCCAGGGACCACAGTGCGTCCAGGGACCACAGTGTGTCCCAGGACCACAGTGCGTCCAGGGACCACAGTGCGTCCAGGGAACACAGTGTGTCCAGGGAACACAGTGTGTCCAGGGAACACAGTGCGACCAGGGACCACAGTGCGTCCAGGGACCACAGTGCGTCCAGGAAACACAGTGCATCCAGGGAACACAGTGTGCCCAGAGACCACAGTGTGTCCAGGTACCACAGTGCATTCAGGGAACACAGTGTGTCCCAGGACCACAATGTGTCCAGAGACCACAGTGCGTCCAGGAAACACAGTGCGTCCAGGGAACACAGTGTGTCCAGGGACCATGGTGCATCTAGGGAACACAGTGTGTTCCGGGACCACAGTGTGTCCAGGGACCACAGTGTGTCCCGGGACCACAGTGTGTCCAGGGAACACAGTGTGTCCAGGTACCACAGTGTGTCCAGGGACCACAGTGTGTCCNGTCCAGGGAACACAGTGTGTCCAGGTACCACAGTGTGTCCAGGGACCACAGTGTGTCCTGGGAACACAGTGTGTCCAGGGACCACAGTGTGTCCAGAGACCACAGTGCATCCAGGGAACACAGTGTGTCCAGAGACCACAGTGCATCCAGGGACCACAGTGCATCCAGGGACCACAGTGTGTCCAGGGACCATGGTGCATCCATGTGTCCTACCTGTTAGCTGCGATGTAGCCCATGAACAGGATGCTGGCGTACATGTTGAGGTAGAAGGCGGAGGCTCCAAAGCTGCAGTAGGTCTGCCGGATGAAGCTGGTCTTGCTGGCGTAGTTCAGAATGCGCAGGGGCAGGCAGAGACTGATGAGGAAGTCTGAGGCCGCCAGGTTCTTCAGGTAGATGGTGACGCTGCTGGATGCCAGGGGCTGAGCTGAGCAGAAGTAAACCCTCAGTGTGAAGCTGTTGAGGAACAATCCCACCTGAGGGGACAGCAAGGAGGGCTCAGACTTATTCAACCCAACACGTGTCAGATCAATCTGAGGACTCACCAGGAAGATGAAACTGTAGATGACGATGAAGAAAATGTGGGCGGAGTTGTTCACGGGTTCATCACAGGAAGTGGAATTATTGTCCGTCATTATTCCCAGCTGGCTGGTGCTCAGAGTGGGCTTCATGTCTCCGAGGTGAGGGGTGTCTCTGGAGGACAAGTTACTCTGATGTTAGCAACACACAAACAGCTGACTGCTGAACAGAAAGTGACCTGTGACTACAACTCAGAGGCTCTGCTGAAGACTAAAGTCTGATTTCAAACTTTAGTTCAGTGGATCAGTGGTCAGCACTGTTCCCACAAAAACAGAATCCGTTCCAGTTCCTYCTGCTGGACCAGGAGAACCCTCAAAGATCCAGCTTGAAGGAATTTAAGAGGTTCTGTTAGAAGAGACAAACAATTTTTTGTCCTGAGTCCAGTTTAACACCACGGTCAGTTTAACGAGCTGCTGACCCTTCATCGGTGCTGATAMCTCCAGACAGAACATCAACTACAGATGGTCGATATCAGCTAAAGAGCTCCTGTCCGTCTGTTTCATGTTGGTGGGCAACATTCAGGAAACTGTCACGTGGAAAAATGAGTCTCTGGTTGGTTGACGCAATGTGTCAAGCAGCAAAAGTTCAGATTTTTGAACTCAAGCGTCGGATGCTTTGGACGCACCACATGCACGGAAAACGTTCAACCGCATCTACCGCTTCACACCGCACCGCGCTCAACGAACCTGACGCACTGTGAGACCCCTAGAGGTGCGTCCACCAAAGACTTTACATGTAAACCAGCTGCTCCTGCAGCTCAAAACGTGTTCGATGTGAACGTAGAATAAAACCCAACAGTGACAACAGGTCTAAAGTAAAACTATGAAGTAGACAAAGACTGAAAACAGAACAACTAAACCAGAACCATGTCTGGGTTCCTTCTACTTTTAACCACTTCCTTTAGCTTCAGACACAACTTTAGCTTTTTATTCCTCAAAAGACAAACTACAACTTAAATTTTCTTCAGAAGTAAAGAAAATAAATGTTAAAAACTAAACTGATGAATCCAAAAGGTTCAGGTTCAATGTGTGGGATTTAAAGACAAACTAGAAGAAATGAGTCCTTCATCAGAKGCACAGAGTGGACTCAGTTCTACAGAACCGGGTCCAGAATGAAGAGGAAACCAAAGAGACGGTTCTGTGGTTTCTGCACCTGTTCCATTAGAAAGATCTGTAAAACTCTGAGGAATCATTGGACGGCTTTGAAGCTGAGGTAGAAAGTCTCTGGAGGTACAGATTAAAACTGAACCAAGAAGAAGAACCCCCCACTGAGGGGAACCTGGGTCTGAGGGGTCTGAAAGACCTTTAGGGGCTTTAGTCTGATCCCACAGCAGAGGTTCTGTTCAGATCAAACTGGACTAATGAGCAGGGCTTCCTGCAGGACCAGGACTTCCTGGTCCTTTAATTAAACCCAGTCTACACCATCAGACCAACATGTCCCCACAAGGACAGAAGGACAAGAAAGAGACAGTTCAACAAGACTCCAGACCCAGACCCAGACCTGGTCTTCAGTCAGGGAGCAAATCTGAACAACAGAACAAGAAACACAAACATAATCCCTGAAGGATCAGCATCCTGGTTCTTTGTAAACCCAGCAGGACCCCTCAGACTGACAGGACCCCTCCGTTTGAGGAGACCTGTCAGACTGAGAGGTTCTGTCAGTCTGAGGGGTCTGACAGGTCTCCTCAGTCTGACAGGACCCTTCAGAGTCCATCCTAAATAAACCACAACAGAGGTCTCAGGTTCCAGCACTGAGCCTGATARCCAGTCAGTTTCACACCATCAGACATGTGACTAAAACATCTCTGTAGGCCTGACTAACCAAGACCTTGATGACTACCAGGAGGGGGTCCTGCAGGACTCACCTGTTCCTTGTAAAGCCAGCAGGTGAGAAGTTGTGAAGCTGCAGTGGAGCAGGGTTACCTGCAGGACTCACCTGTCTGCTGATGTGTGTCTGTCTTCCTGCTGAGCCGGGCTCAAATGAGGAAGAGTTGAGGCTGTGAGGGGGAGGAGGAAGAAGAGCTGCCGAACTGTGCTGATGTGCAGCAGCAGCAGCAGCAGCAGCAGCAGCAGCAGCAGAGCCGCAGCTCCTTTGCAAGTCAAAACCTCTCCTGACTTCCTGTTAAAAGTTCCACAGAACAGATTGTTTACGAGCTGCTGAGGGAAAATCAGCCAGGTGTGTTCCACAGCACCGAGATCACCTGCTGCTCATCACAAACAACAAGCATGGAGCCCAAACAAACAGCATGTTCCGTGTTCCGTACATGTTCCATGTTCCTTACATGTTCCATGTTCCATGTTCCATACATGTTCCATGTTTCATACATGTTCCATGTTCCATACATGTTCCATGTTCCATACATGTTCCATGCATGTTCCATGTTCCATACATGTTCCATTCATGTTCCATGTTCCATACAT